GGCTGGTGCTAATGATGTGTGAATTCCTTTCCCTTAGCCATTTGCATGTGCGCAATAGGATGCCTATGACCTCGGTTACCACACGCACACCTGTGCAAGTGCGAACGGCTCAGAGAAAGGAGCTGTGGCAGATAAAAGGTATTCCAGTTTTCCTTACCAGTCTGTGCCAAAATGCATGGTGTGGCTATCCAGATACGCTGCACAGCCACGCCCATCACTAGGTCTTATTATTGGGGTAGGGCTTATATTTAACAAATGCATAGAAATCCTGCTAGGGCTTATTTTTTGCGTAGGTCTTATTTTTGGGGAAACACAGTACCAAACCTGCCAATATTATCTTGATTATCAGATCTTTTTAGTAAGCCTTGGAATCAGCGTGTGACCTCTAACTTTGTTCTTTTTTTTTTTTTCCTTTTTAAAAAAAATTTTATTGAATGGTAATTATGTACATTTATGCACTTCTGGGGTACAGTGTGGGGTTTTCACACACAATCCGAAATGCTTCCATCAAACTGGTTAACATAGCCTTCATGTCATTTTCTTAATTATTGTTTTAAAACGTTCACATTCTACTCTTAGAAAGATTCACTTGTACCTTTGTAAGATAAGTGATCCTCAGAAGTGATCCCTCCAATCCCCCTCCCTCCACCCATTCCCCCCTCCCATCTCCCTCCCCTCTACCTCCCCTCTCCCCGCATTCTTAGGCTGTTATTAGGTTATAGCTTTCATATAAAAGGTATAAATTAGTTTCATAATAGGAGTGTGTACATTGGATACTTTTTCTTCCATTCTTGTGATACTTTGCTAAGAACATTTTCCAGCTCCATCCATGTGAACATGAAGGACATAAAGTCTCCATCCTTCTTAATGGCTGCATAGTATTCCATGGTGTACATATACCACAGTTTGTTCATCCATTCATGGATCGATGGGCACTTGGGCTTCTTCCATGACCTGGCAATTATGAATTGGGCTGCAATAAACATTCTGAAACTTTGCTCTTTCCAAACTTATATTGGATATTCTAGTTCCATTGCTTTTCTATATAAACTTATGAATTTAATATTTCTGCTGAAAATCCTGCTAAGATTTTTATTGAAATTGCATAGAATCTATAGATTAATTGGAAGCAAGTTAACATTTTAACAATATTGAGTCTTTTAAAAAGTCTTTTTCCTAGAACCAGATCCTGAATTTTGTCCAAGCTTTTTCTATGTTCACTGAAACGAATACGTAGTTTTCCTCTTTACTCTGTTAGCTTAATCTGTGAATTACATTAATTGACATTGAAATATAGAACCAATCTTCCTAGTATATCATAAACAAACACTTGATGACATATTACTTTCAAAAAACATATTTCTTATTTAATTTGCTATGATATTAGTGAGGATTTTTACATCTATGTTGACAAAAGATATTTCTCAGTGGTTTTCCTTTCTTGTGATAGCTTTGGCTCTTCTTGGTATCAGAGAAATGATGATTTAATAAAATGAATTTGGACATGTTCTCTCCCATTTTCTAGGGGTTTGAATAGGATTTACATTGTTTATTTCTTAAATATTTGGCCAGTGGAGACATCAGGGCTTGGAGTTTTCTTTTTGGCAATAATTTTTCTCACAAATTCTATTTCTTTAATAAAGGACTATTCAGTTAACTACTTTTTTGTTGATTGAGTTTTGGTAATTGTTTCTTTCACAGATCTTGTCCATTTTATCTAAGTTGTTGACTTTATAGCCATATACTAATTCATAATATTCCCTTATTATCCTTTTAGTGTCTATAGAATACATAGTGATATGCATTTGTACTTTCATATTGATCTGAAATTAAAAAACCAAATATGTAGTGATATGCCCTCTTTCATTCTAGATACTGGTAATTTGTATTGTTTCTCTTTTTTTCCTTGATAATTCTGGCTAGAGGTTTATAAAATTTAAAATCTTTCTGAAGAACCAAATTTCAGTTCCACCAATTTTTTCTATTGTTTTTATGTTTTCAATTTGCTTATTTTCAGCTCTTATCTTTATAATTTTTTTCTTCTGTATTTTGAGGTTTAATTTGCTCTTCATTCTCTAGTTTCTTAAGGATTGAAGTTTAGATCATTAGAATATATTTTATTTTCTAAGATAACCATTTTAATAGTACAAATTTCCCTATAAATACTACTTAACACACCTACCACAAATTTTGATATGTATGTTTTAATTTACATTTAATTAAAATATTTTCTATTTTATTTTATGATTTCCTCTTTGACCTATGCGTTTTTAGAAATTAATTGTTTAATTTCAAATAGATATTTTTCAATATATTTGTGTTATATTGATTTTAGTTTCATCACAATTTGGTTAGAAAGCATATCACTTTGTATAATTTCAATGATTTTCTTTAAGGCCCAGAATATGATCTATTTTGTTGAATGTTTCCATTTTCTAGGGATTTGTAGAGAAGAATGAACATTATATTCCTGTTAGAGGGGTGTTTTATAAATATTAGGTCTAGTTAACAGAAGGTATTCAAGTCTTCTATATAATTCTGACTTTCTATTAAGTAATTCTTATTGATGATTAGGAGAGGTATATTGAATTATTCAAGTATAATTCTGGATTTGTCTATTTTTTTTCCTTTTGGTTATATCAAGTTTGCTTCATGTATTAAAATTTGAAACTCAGTTGTTAGGTATATATACATAATAGATTATTAAATCTTTATACATTGAACTTTTTATTATTATAAAATATCTCTCTATATTTCTGAAAATGTTGCTTGTTATGAAGTCTACTTTGTCTGATATCAATATAGGATGATCAATATATTTCTATTTTTTGTAGAGACAGTGTCTCACTTTTGCTTAGGCTGCAAAAGTGATCCACCTGCCTTGACCTCCTGGAGAGGTAAGATTATAGGTATGAGCCACCATACCTGGCCTAAAGTGGATTTCTTAAAAACAAAAACCATATGATCCTTTCAATAGATGCAGAAAAAGCATTTGACAAAATTCAGAATCATTTTTTGATAAGAACACTTAAGAAAATAGGCATAGATGGGATATTTCTTAAACTGATAGAAGCCATCTATAACAAACCCTCAGCCAATATCATACTGAATGGAATAAAATGTAAAGCATTTAAACTTAGAACTGGAACCAGACAAGGATGTCCACTATAACCACTACTATTCAACATAGTGCTGGAAGTTCTAGCCAACGCAATAAGATGAGAGAAGTGTACCCAAATGGGGACAGAGGAGGTCAAAATTTCTTTTTTTGCTAATGGTATGATCTTATGCTTAGAAAATCCCAAAGATTTAACCATGAGACTCCTGGAAGTGATCAAGAAATACAGTTATGTTTCGGGGTATAAAATCTATGTCCACAAATCCATAGCTTTCATGTATGCCAACAACAGTTAAGCTGAGAACCAAATCAAAGACACAGTACCCTTCACAGTAGCTTCAAAGAAAACTAAATACCTTGGGGCTCAGCCCCTGTAGCTCAGCGGCTAGGGGGCTGGTGGGTTCGAATCCAGCCTGGACCTGCCAAACAACAATGACGACTACAACCAAAAAATAGCCAGGAGTTGTGACAGGCGCCTGTAGTCCCAACTACTTGGGAGGCTGAGGCAAGAGAATTGCTTAAGCCCAAGAGTTTGAGCTGTGATGCCACGGCACTCTGCCCGGGGGACAGCTTGAGACTCCGTCTCAGAAAAAAAAAAAAAAAAAGAAAAAAGAAAAAGAAAAAAGAAAAAAGAAAAATAAATACCTTTGTATATAATTAACAAAGTATGTGAAAAACCTGTACAGAGTGAACTATGAAACTCTGAGAAAAGAAATAGCAGAAGATGTTAACAACCCAGAAGGAGAAAGCCGGGTAGAAGAAAGAAGGAAGAGAGAAAAAGAAGGGGTAGAAAACAGAGGAGGAGGTGGCCAAGGAAGTCTGGATGCTGAATTAGAGAAGAGTTGGAAAACGAAGGAGTGGAGGATGAGATAAAGGCTGAAATGGAAGAGAGAAAGAACGGCGTCTGGGTGTGCAATGGTTAGACAGAAGTTCGGAGAGCAGCAGCATCACCACCGCCAGCACCTTAAGGAACCTGGCTTAGCGGCCCCGGGAGCTGGTAAAGGGCATCCCGCTGGAGAAGCCCCAGATTTTTGCCTGAGTCTGGGTCACTCCTAGTCTGGGGTATCCGGGACAGTACCACTAGTCCCGAGCTCAGCCGACGCGCCTCTTTGACCAAGGCATTTGGCCCAGGAGCGTAGGCGGGCGAGGCACAGAAACCGCGGAGGAATTAGGGCCCAGGAGAGGGGTAGGGAGGGTTAGTGGTGGTTCAGAGCTAGCAATGATGCTCAGTGGCTAAGGAGCGTGGCGACTCGGAGCACCGGGGAGGCGGACGCTTGAAGGATCAGGACGTCTGGCCCAAGATGGAAGGAAGGCTGCGGGGTTGGGCGAGAGCTGGCGGGCAGGGGCGGGGCCGGGGGGGGACGTACTGCTGGACTCCCAGGGTCAGAGAGCGCGGGAAGGAGCGTAAGGCACACGAGATGTTGGGGGCATCCTGGCTTGTTGGGTTGAGAGGGGGCTGCGTGCCGATGGCCCAGAAGGTGTGTGCTGGGGCGCGAGGGCGATCCCAGCTGAATCGTCCCATCCCAGTGGGGTGTCTTCCGAAGGTGCAGCACCAGAGGTTGACATGGGAGGAACAAGACGTGAAGGGGTAACCTAAGGGGAGACGAGTGGAAAGCAGTGGACAGGACCCGCACGCCCGCGGAGGTTGGGGCCCGGCACACCTTTTGTCACCATGGAAGCCTTCGTCCTCCCGCTTTGTCCCGGGTATCCCAAGTTCCAGCCTTGGGAAAAAGGCATCCCTGCGGAGCTGAGCCAGGGCGGGCCAGGGCTGAGGTGGGAGGCAGGATGGAGGGGCGGGAGCCAAAGCCGAATGGGCGGACACAGGGTGGCGTTTCGAGCCCTATAAAGGGGTTGTGTGTGTGTATGTGCGCTCTCCTCTGCGTGGGCAGCAGCCACCGGCGGGGAACGCGGCACGATGCCGGTTAGGTGCCACCAGAGCTCGGTGCTGGCAGGTAGCGCCACTTTAGCGGTCATGGGGGCAGTGATGCTGGTCCTTGCAGAGCCCGCCAGCTACGGGAAGCACGTCGAGATGTCGGTGCGTACCGGCCTGTCTGCCCGCGCCGCCTGGTTCCTGCAGGAACTGCCCTCCTTCGTGGTGCCCGCGGGGATTCTCGCCCAGCAGTCCCGCTCCCTCTTCGGACCGCCCGAGACGGTGCTTCTGGGTCTCTTCTGCGCGCATTACTTCCACAGGTAGTGTTTTCCTCTCGCCAGCGCTAAGTGCCGCGTCCTGCCGGACTCCCGGGGTCCGAGAGCGCAGCGCGCAGTTCGCACTGCTGTCGGGAGCGCAGAGAGGGACCTGTGAGGCGCACCTGGTGCGCGCCGGGGCTGGGGCTGGGTGCCGGAGAGTTGGGAAGGAGCCGCGGGAGGAGGCCAACCGTCACCCCTCCGGACCCCACGCCCCTTCCATCCGCTTCAGATCCTCGGGCTGCTGGAGAGGAGCGGGGAAGGCAGGGGCCCTGGAAAGCTCCGGTTGGACAGAGGTATTGGTCGGGACTCATCCCTCTGCGCGCTTGCCTAGGACATCTCGCCACCTGCCCAGCTTCTGTTTCTTTCTTCACCTTTCCCTTGTAGAGTGGGGGCAGGTTGGTTCTGGGATCTGGGAAGAATCTTAGATGTTAGTACCTTCTGAAGGAAACTCAGCTGAGAGGTTCTGATCAACTTTGTCTTTGCTGGTCTGAGGAGGGAATGGACAGAGCCTGAGCTCTGGACCTTACAGGTGAGAAAGAGAATATGTGGGGATCTCACTGGCTTAAGCTAGAGAGGCCCCACCCCAAAGGGACCAAGCTCTCCACCAACTCATATGTCTTCCCAGTTTCCCTGGGACTTGAGTTGTGAGTGGATCAAAGTTAACTTAAAGCTCAAATATTTTTCTAGAAATTAAAAATTAGGACTTCAATAGCTGGGCGTCCTGGAGGGTACCTGTAGTCCCAGCTACTCTGGAGGGTGAGGCAAGAGGATTGCTTGGGCCCAAGAGGTTGAGGTTGCTGTGAGCTATGATTCTATGCTGAGAATGTCACAGGCATTCTACCCATGGTGACAAAGTGAGACTCAGTTTCAAAAAAATAAAAATAAAAATAAATTATTATTATTATTATTATTTATTTTTTTATTTTTTTTACAAGTTTAGAACTATGCCTGCTGGTCTGGGAAGGAAACACAGGAAAGGGACCAAGGAATGTAAGGATTCAGGGAAAGACTGTTTAGCCCCAATAAAGTCTCACAGGAAAAGGGAAGACCAGATTATAAAATTGCCTCCGTGTGGATCACTGACTATGATCTCATTTAGCCCTACCGTAATCTTGTGAGATATGTATTTACTATGTCTCCTTTACAAAGAGATGGAGGCTGAGTAAGGTATATGATTGAAGGGAGATGAGAAGTTAGGGTAAAGAATGCCTCTGGAAGCTGCAGAGCATAATCCTCTCTCTCATAAGGAAGAAGTGATGCCTCATTGTGGTGGAAAGAAGTGTCAGAAACACAAATTTCAACCTCTCTCTTCTAATCCCCTCTTAACCTCTGCATCTTCCTTATGGGTCAAGATTTTATATTTATTCAATCTTAACTGAATTCTCACTCTTTTTAAAAGGTTAAGTATTGACAAGCAATAAGAACTAAAGTTTGTATCCTTTCAACAAATATTTACTAAAAGCCCCTTATGGACAAGGTTCCAGGGTAGTTATCAACCACTTTATTTGACCCAGACTTAAATGTTTTAATTTGCACAGAAAGAAGGATGTTGGGTATAGAAATAAGAGACCAACTTTTGATTTAACTGAGTTTGGAACAGACATTTGACAGAAAAATATGATTCTAAAAAATGTCTAAAACAATTCCTTTTATCTTCAGGTTAACTACTGTCCTTAGCCCTGTAAACACCTCATAAATTATGAGGTCATTTCTTTTAGGGTTAATGATTAGTATTTTCTGACAATCCTATTAATGTAATTTTTAGTCTTCTTTTTAAAATAAAAAAAAAACCACTTTGCACACTAAATTATGACTAGTACATTTTTTAAAAAGTACTAAGGAAGTAATTACCCAGAAAATGAATATCTACATCCAGTCCATCTTCTTCAGAG